CTCACGTATGAGAAAATTTTTTGATAGAGAGCTTACCCTTACCACCTCGTAAAAAAAAGGCTTAAAATATTCCGAAAAGTGTGGGTGAATGTCGTGGAAGACTTCATCGAAAAGTTACAACAGGTAGGCTACAACATTTGAGAAGGATTTAGACGAAACAACTGTGTTACCTGTGTGCATTTTCTAGCCAGTCTATAGTTTGCATTCTGCAACTTTTTAACTGACCTTACCTCAAAGAAGCCTCTGGGGTTTATAAAATACTTGTCGGAAACTTAGAGATAAAACATCATAGAATCGGCTACTCAATAAAATTCTAGCCCTTAAAACGAAAAGAGGACCTCAATGAAGAAGCACTAAGAGAGAAATCGTACACATTTCGTATGTAACAATGCTGCGCGATTGAGTGGATTTCTTACACTCATTCGTGAATCACGGACGACTTGAAAATTAGTGTTTTAACGAGGATCAAGATAACTAGTTCGCTGTCCACAGACTAGTTATTTTCCACAGCTCACGCAAAATAACTGTTGCTCATGGATGAATCGGTGCCCACCACAGGGGATTTCGATTGATGTCAAAAAGGAAATGATTTTATCATGTGGAGGTCTACAATAGACTTTTATAGGACTGTGGGTGGATGACAGTCACTCAGTCATCCTGAAACACACGCTTAAGACCTCAGTTGCTTGATGTAATATTTCAGTGAGTGTTTAAAGCCCCGTCTCCTGTCTGAGGTCTGAGGACATTTTTGAAAGAGAGTTTATCCTTACCACCTCACAGACAAAAGCTGAAAAATATTTCGAAAAGTAACTGAATTCAAAACCATGGCACAGATAATTTTTCGTCTATTTGACTGGAATGAAAACATGTGAAATTTAAAATTGAAAGAAGTAATAAAAAGATTTGATCAGAAACAATTTCTTAAAAGGCAAGCAAATATTAACGTTAAGAGCCGACGTTTCTTCGGTGTCATCATAACACCATTCTCAAGGCAAAGTGAATAAATAATGTGAAGATTTGATTTTTCTGGTCTCTACAAATTAGCATAATAACAAAGGATCACAAATTCTTCCAGTGAATACCTTGGCGCGAATCGAGTCCGTTTGTACGTTTAGGGATGGTTTAAGTTTTGTTATAAAAAGCATCTCCTTGATTAGGCAATCAAATTTTCTGGTTTTCTCTTCTTAAAGAGAAGAGAAAACCAGGATTCAAGAGAAGACCAGGATAAAAAAAAACCGCTTAAATCAAGTTAAATCGATAAAATAACGACACCAGGAGCAAACAGCACACGTATGGAATAAGGTAAGCCATTTTTATTTAATATTTTCACTTTTAACTATCTCTATGGATATCTTGTACATGTAGAAAATCCTAGACAAATCCTTACAAATCGATATGCAAATTGTGTTCCTTGAGTGGTTCTTAAAGAGACTGCTTGGACCGCCTGTTCATGATAAAGCTCACGAACGAAATTAAACAAACGGTAAAATGAAGCACTTTGAAAATTCGAGAATATTATATCCAAGTTAAGGTCAGTATATTTGTATTCTTCTTTACTCTTTTTGAGTTGCTAGGATTTCTAAAAAAAAAAACCATTTTGTTTTTGTTAATGGTCACGCATACACAACATGGCGTGATTTTATGTATTTCAAAGAGGATTAGTAACAAAATCCCACATTCATTCCCCAAAAGTAAACTTTACATATTTTTAAAGATCGTTAACTAAGGTATTGTCAATCTCAATCTTACGAAATTCCAAACCAAGGCACACGCTCAAAATTATCGTTATTTTTCGCCTAGTGTTTTACGAAGCACGTGAGAGCCATAACTTCTTCACTTCTCTTGAATACTCAGATAAGTCATAGTTAATAGAGAGGACTTTTTAGGAGACCCGGCGAACATCAGAGGAGTATCTTTTTGTTTTCGTTTTGGCCCTATGACGTCACCACGAGAGTGCACAGTCAACCAGCTGAATACAGAGCGCATGGGAAAGACATTGAGAAGAAGCGATACTTAACGTAGATTTTTGATTACATAGAGATAATTATTGGAGTTTTAACTATATGGTTTTATAATATACCATGCCAGGCCGAAACTGTGCGGTCTTTGGCTTTGGATCGTGTAGGCGGACCAAAGGAATTGGAATTTGGAAACTGCCAAAAGCAGTCGACGCGAAACATCGCGAATGGCGCGAATCTTGGCTCGGACAACTCAAGAAAACTCGGGTAATTGACTCCGATTTTTGAGAGCAAATCAAGAACGATCAAGTCTAAACCTGCGAGAAGCATTTTCACCAAAAGATTTCCAGATATGTGAGTATTATCGTCTATATTTTATGTCTCTGTGGTCTGTTTACATCAGACTCCACTGTCAGTACGTCTTGCACAATCTCGTCCCTCTTGACCTTTTGCAATCTCTTCTCTGAAACATCTTTTAATCTTCGATCTTTTACGTGTTAATTTCAGTTTCTACTGACAACGCAACTCCAAAGAAGCCGAGATTCGGCGCATTATCTAAGCTAAATATGCCGACGAAAAGCATTGAATCTTGCAAGCCAACGCCGAGACCAGAGCGTCGCCATCATCTAGCAGATTCAGTTTGCACTGACGTCAACTCAGATGTATGCTGATGACATTGCATCCCATGTCCTGGTATTTATGGTGCGTAGCATTTGCACTGAACTTAGGTTTGCCTTAGCTAATTTTTCTACCACAGGAATTACATCATATCAGCTCATACCCTTGTTCTGGGAAGCAGTATGCCTATTAGAAATCACATGCAATCTTTGGGTGGTTGCTACCACAGCAGATGGTGCAAGTCCAAATAGTAAGTTCTTTCGTCTTCATAAGGCACTTGGAGATGTGCAATGTGATGTGTGCTACTGCACCAAGAATCTCTATGCCCCACACAGATATATATATATATACTTTTTTAGTGATGCACCATATCTCATCAAGACAACAAGGAATTGTCTTATGCATTCAGGGGTAACAAAAGGAACTTGATACACGTGGAATGATGCACAGTATGTCTTGTGGCAGCATATCACAAGCATGGTGTATGAGGACTTCAACAATTAGCTGAAACTGCTGCCCAAGCTAACATATGAGCATATTAACCTGAATGCTTATTCAGTTATGAGGTTTAATCTTGCTGCACAAGTCTTGAGCTCAACAATGGCAGCAGTCCTAAAAGCATTTGGGCCCCCCCGAAGCAGCTCATACTGCCAAACTCTGTGAAATGGTTGATCGTTTCTTCGACTGCTTAACTGTGAAAAGCAGGATTGAACAGATCCGTGAGCGCAAGCCCTTCCTGGCTCCATATACATCACTTCAGGATGAAAGGTAAGCATTTTATCTTTGACTGGTCAAAGGATCTCACAGGTAAGCTTTAGTTAGTAAATGAGTGAAGTGAAATATGTACCTCTTGTAACATCCAATTTATCATATAATTAGCTATATGTCCAATTTTACCTTCCTATAGATAAACAGAGCTTGTAGTGTGGATTAGTTAAAATGACAATTTTTTTTTAATTCAAAATAGTAAATATGGATAATTACATGATGAATAAATTATTTCTATGGAAAATATAGAACAAAATAAATCGAAAGTATAATTAATCAGAACTATAATCCTTCTATTATTTTTCCTAGATTTGTATTCCTGATGAAATTTCTGGAGTACCTGAACTCATGGAAAACCAGCACAGAGAACAAACCTGGTAACTACACCCAGAATGCCAGAGCCAAAATGTTCTTATCCTGGCAGTCACATGAGGGATTTGAAATCACGGTCCATTCTGCAATTGAGTGTACAAAGTTCCTTCTCCAGGAAGGAATGGAATTTATTTTGAGAGAACGCTTCTGTCAAGACCCAGTTGAACAATATGTTGGAGACCAGCGCAAACTTGGCAGGCATTGTGATAATCCAGATATTCACCAATTTGGATATAATGCCAACACCATCCAAATCCAGCGGTCTGTTTCATGCCAAAGCGGTAACACCAGGGGGCGGAAGGATAAGCATCGACAATGGGAACAAGTGACAAATGATAATTTGCCATGCAGAAAGAGAAGAAAAACTGAATGACAGTTATTCATTGTTAAAATCAATTCAAGTATCATTTAGCCTCAAGTGATAATGATGATAATTAGATCTTACATTTTGAAAGATATGCTTTAATTTAGTAGTGGATTATTAAATTATGAAATAAACTATTTGTTTTTACTATAAGAGAAAAATCGAGTTTCCAGATGGGATTATTAAATTGATGTCTTTTGGATGATTTTTCAGACATGTGAACAATATGTAAACAAATTTTGATCTAAAAGTCAATAATATCTTGAAACACCAAGACTGCTGTTGACTTCATTATATAGTTACTGATAATTTAATTGCAAAACTGGCATGTGTATATATGTAACTAGAGTAATAATTATAGCTTTCGACAATAAATGATAACTACAGTATTTCCCTGTTGTGACCTAAAATTATTTACAAATCAAGCATAAGGTATCTAGCACTGTTCAGTACTTAAGGGTCCCATTTTATGAATTATCCAAAGAAGCTTAAGAAATTAAAACCTTTAGACATAAGCACGGTAAATTCGGAGGTGTTTTCTCTAAGCTCTTCCAGTGAATTAACTTCCTTTTCATTTTTTATCGATTCTTTGTACAACTGGACTGAGAGTATGACTCAATTTTTCGAAGATAGTGATGATGTCTTCCATATCGTTTTGTCCGTTAAAAATGGGTTGAATCTACAAAATAAATACAAAAAAAAGGTACAAAAGAAGTTAAAATGAAAAAATTGAAAATTCAAGTCTCTGACATAGCAAATTAGACAAAGAAAATATATAAATACTTGGATTATCATCGATAGGCAATAGAGTAGCGCCAGGAATACCGAGTAAACATCTTTGTAATTACACCAAATTTTCTTATAAGATGCAAAATATGTACTCACTTGTTTATTGAAGCGTTAAACTACTCTTCGATATCTTTATCTGGCTCAAAAATTCTGGAATTCCGTCCAAGTATTCCCCAAACAAGAGAAAATGTTCCACAATGTCCGCCATCTTTGTTTTTGATGTGCACTCTCGCTGTGACGTCACGGTGCAGTTCAACATCAGATACAAAACAATAGGCCGCACCTTTGATGTTCGCAGGGTCTCCTAACCAGTCTCCTCTATTAACTATGGATAAATCTAATGTTTATGAAATCATGGTTTTTACGCCATGGCAAGTTGTAAAACAAATTGGAACTATTACAGCTTTTCTAGCGTCTGAGTTTTGACAGGCGAGTCAAGTGATTCATGACTACTCTCACTGACCATGTTTGTACGTGTTTGGGATCGCCACTTGTTGTGCCTAAGTTGAAAATGGCTTCCATCGTTTTTCTCAGGAATTAACAGATATTTCTAGGAAAAAGCTACATAGCATTGATATACTTACTAAAGGCTATCTATATGCAAAAGACCAGTGAATTTGATTTTTTTTTAGCTTTGCCGAAGATTTGCGATTTTGTTTGATTCTTGCACGGATCTCCTCTTAAAAAGTAACAATATGACGGAAAAACTTCGTTACTGGTAGCAATAATATAAACGTTGTGAAACAAGAGGCTTCATGTGATCTTATTAAGTAGATGTAGACAGTTAGAAAGCGGTTGCTGCTTTTGGATGTTCGGCTGCATAGTTAGCCTCGCATCAATTTATCTACTTAAGACTTTTTGTTTTGCTTTTCATAAACCTTAATTTGCGGTAGAGGAGTCTTACTTACAGCTTTAACTGTCCCCGGTAGCAAACCTTAATGCCAGCAAACACTCGTGGCGGTAATTGCTGTAACTGGTTGTTTGATGAGTTCCCGAAATCAGTAAGTCATTACAACGAAGCGTGAGCTTTGCTGTCTGCGACATACTTTTTGAAAAATACAATGAACGTTTGCGTTTTCCTCACAGTGATGAATAATTAGATAAGTTGCTTTACCCTGAAGATCCAAATGCAGAATAACATCGTTCGATCAATCTGCCAACATCTCAGACCATCTGCTCGTCTGAGCAGTGGTTCAAATATCAAAGAAGGCGAACACTTTAATCAGATTAATTGCTTGTCGAGAATTAAAATTCGCAAATTGAGAGAAATGGAACACTTATTTTAACATCATCTCTTAATGTATTCCTTTAACATCACAGGTGATAGGTCCGAATATTTTATTGAAACGCCAAGTAAGAAGTGAAG